AAAAAAAACGATTTTGTAGGGAAAGTATCAAGCTTTCACGATAGGTAATCGAAAATTTTCTCAAATTCGTTTTGGACACGTTACAAATCCACAAAGTGAGAAGAAAATTTTTCGTCTTTTTCAGCTCGTAGTTTTTGGTATGTAAAAATTATCAAACTCATATAAACTTAAAAAATGTGATAAGCTTTTAAAAGTAGAGATTTCAAGCTTTAAAACCATTTTTTTAAATTTGAATTTCATTCATTATTGACGAAGATATTGTATATATTGTACAACTTTGAGCTAAAAAATACGCGATGACTTTTTACTTAATCTATATATATATACATATACACAGTATCCAAAAAGTTCCGGAACATTTGAATATCACGGAAAGTATAAGTATTATAGAAAAGTGTTTCAGACAAAAGTTGTAGAGTTCAAAAAGATCTTTTTAATCTAATCACATCATTTGACCTTGGATGGCGTCGCCAAGGTCACATCAAATGTCAGGTCAAGGTCACATCAATTTTGTTAAATAGAATACCCCATTTTTTATTACATACTATTATAGCACATCTCGAGAGCTTCCAAAACACTATAATAAGATATTTTTTTATGAAATACTTAGTGAAGACAAGACAAAGCATTACTAAAGCATTAGAGTAGACTGATAATTGAAAGCATCAATAGATCAAATGCTCAAACTATTAACTGTTGGTTTCTTATCAATAAGCTAATCGATGATAAAAAGTTGCGATTGCATTTTCGAAGTATTCAGTAGGTATAAGAGCGGCTCCATCTAGAATTCATTTACAATTCGTCTAACTTTTGAAGTTTAGTTGTGTACACCCTATGTTTTAAATAATCCCACAAAAAATAATCGAGAGGAGTCAAATCTAGTGGCTGGTCATAATCGTGCTTCTTCGTCCTATTCATTAATCAGAGAAAATTGTGTCTAAGTAAGCACAAACGTTTCGTCCAAAATGAGCACCATCCTGCTGAAACCATACGTGCTCAAAATTTTCGCCAGCAATCCTTCTTCTTCTTATTGTCAGAACTATTTGATTTCGGAGCATGTCTTCATAGTTTGCGTTTAAATTGCGATAAACTAAGAATAGTCCTGTTAATCTATTATGTAATATTCCAGCCCAAACGTTTAGTTTTTCCGGATATTGCGTATGTTTTCATATCCAATTAGGATTCTAATTGGACCAGTACGTTATGCTTATTTAGAGTACCATCTAGTTGCAATGTTGCTTCATCCGAGAAGGCTATATTTGATGCAAAGTCAGGATCTTCATCCAACATCATACCCACACGTTGTTTGAAATTATCTTTATTTAATGAAAATAATGAACAAGTCGTCGTCGTCGTCGTCATTTCAACGTCGTTTTTTTCAACCAATTTCCAATCTCGCCAACATTCTCTTCTAATGGGCGCGTCCTCTTCAGTAACGTCAGCGGTATTAAGTCTCGAAAAAGAAAAATATAATTTTAAATTAACATGCATTGCTTATAGTTTTACATATCCACGCGGAATAACGTTAGAAGATTAGTATTATATATCAACTTTTTTCTCTTCTCAAAAGTAAAAAGTAAATTATTGAATATATGAAATGAAACAATATTCGTTCAATTAAGACGCGAAAATTTTATACGTAAATCTTATTATAATAATATAATAACGTAATACTCACATTCTTCTTATCAGCATTATCATCGCTGATATCTAAATTGGTTCTCAATCCGTCTGGTTGTTAGACAGTTCCGACCACTGCCTGTAAATTCAGCGCACCTTCATTTAAACAAGCTGCTTTTTTCATTAATAGACACACACTTTTTTCATTATTAGTATCTGCATGTTTATATGTGCAGCATATTTCACCAAAGTATTGATGTTGGACATCTCTTTTCACAGTGATTGACACTAGTACAGACTAATTTAATCGACCGACTAACAGACTGACAGATTGATTAACTGCAGGGGATGAGATTTTTTAGTAAACATGTTTGTTGGAATATGATACCATTTCAAGAAAAAGAATAATACCTTGGTCAAAGTTTATACCTTAGCTGAAAAGTATATTACGCGGTCAAATGATCTCATGAATAAACTTCAGCATTTATCAGTTACAATTAGATCATCATAATCAATATATCAGCGGCAAAACAATGCCTCGATAAAAATATATTGATGTAAAACAACATATATTTTATTTTAAAAATATCTTACAACTCTCCCTGGCGTCGCGACCATCAGTTAAATATTTTACATTTTGCAAAGCACAATTCTTTGCATGTTTTCCACATCGTATAGTATTACAATTGTCTAGATTATTAAGAGATTTAATATCTTCGTAATGCGCATCCAGAATTTTGATGATGACATCATCGATGCCGAGTATATCCGCCAGCCATTTCCGTTTTTCGTATCCCTTGACATACCATACGAGTGTTTCATCTTCTTCTATCACAGCTTATGTAACTAAACGTCTCACCATGTCGTACGGGGCACCCCGGCGTCCCATCAAAATCTATGGTGATAAGCACTCAACCATCTCGACAGAAAATGCCATGGCATAGGACGTGAAAAAATGTAGTGCGTGAGAATGGTTCCCTTTTTCAGCACCACTTCTTCTTTGATGAAAAATTGTTTTTCGACGATAAATCCTTGTAGATCCACAAACGTCGGTGTGACGAACAATTCTTCAAGACCGTGTTTCATCCCGGTTTTTCTCTTCCATTAAAAGTTCTAAATATTTGCTGACTTTGTAATTTACATAATCTTACACACTACGTTGGACAACGAACAATACTGGATTACACGATCGTGTATGATGAGACAGGTAGTAGATAGACGGTGGTATTGGCGAGCACATTCTCCTTGCAATCAAATTCAATGCGTACGTCCAGCGATGGACACGTCTCGTATCAAATCTATTTATATCGCATTTTATTATATCATAGACATCATCACATTCTATATAAAAGTAACAATAAAAGAGTACAACCGCACTCACGAGCGTGGCGCAACTTTGTAGCGCGTTTGCAGCTAATATTACCTCTACTCGGTTGGACTTCTCTCTTTTGGTACAACCAGGATTCGTGTAGCCTTAAGAGAAACGCGACAAAAATGTGTCTTTACGCAGGCATTCCTGAGGGTAACGTAAAGTCTCAAAACTAATAGTTGGGCGCCAGGCATGAGAGAGCATGCCACTCTATCGAAATTATTCGGGATATTCTCCTCGCGATATTCCACAGAACTGCGAACGTCAATGGCTCTCGTCGGGTAGCTCAGCCTCGGGATTGCCAGAGGGAGCGGTTCGTGATCGAAAATAGAAGATTGTTTGGAGAAACGAATAGGGCGACGGCAATGAATCACACAATAATTAATAATAAAAAGTAACAAATATATTTGATTAATCTCCGACTTTCATTGGTACTCGTTGACAAGATCACGGCGACCGAAATATTCGACCGAAATGCGTTATTTTAGCCTCGCATGGGCCCCGATACGCTCTACGCGGTGCATATTAACTACACTAACTCTCAATGGCACGAGCTCACGTAAGAATATTTCTTGTGAATCGCACGAACAATAGCTCAATGTATCTAACAATCTTTTGTTATAAAAATCTAACGCTCGCATTTTTTATGTCATTGACTGCAAAAATGGTCATCTGCGAGAATTTTTTGTGGAAAGTCAGTCTGTGATGGTTGACCGTAATTGTTTACCGCTCGTGCATTTAATTCGCATTCGGGAATTCGGTTTCTGTAATGTGCTAACTCGCACTAATAGTTCTTGCCCGATATTAATAGATACTACTGGGCATTAGAATTATATTGAGAAAGGTAACGATTGTATAGTATCAGAGATTTTTATCTGTCGGTATTAGGCCTTGGATTTCCTTATTTATGAATACTCAAGGATGGGTAAATCCCTGTTTGATACATTCTAAATTTTTCGGACACCTAGCGTTAGAGGGAGGGGGTAAGATTTAAATAGAGATTAGAGCAACGATACTGCAACAGTCGTTCAGACAGATTTGTTTTGCAGTGATCTCCAGCGCTATGGATTCGTACATTCAACATGAGTCAAACAAGTAAGGATTTCATTTATATTGGTTTGTGAAAAATGTTTGTCTATAGATGGCTTATTTGTTTGTTCTCCATTATACTATGTCTTCACGTACAATTTCGAGACAAATACTGGCATTGACATCGACAGCGTACAAAAGCTTTTAAAGATTCGGATCGCAGTAGGACCTATTTCCTGGAAATTGTCATTGGCGACACCCGGGACAACCGTATCGTCCTGCCTCATGTTATGTATTGGACGCTATTCGTTGAAAAACGGGCAGATATCGAGGGATTGTTGCAGTCAATTACTCCATCATCGTTAATGATTCAAAAGCTTCAGGTTGAACTTGTCAAGATACGCGATGTGGACAATGTAAAATTATCATTATGTGAAAAGTGTTTATACATGAAACTATCGATCAGGCTCTTCACGCTTGCACTTAAACAATGTGTTGAACACGTATATTGCAAATTATGCCATTATACATACGTACATAACTTCCGTAAGATTTACAAGAAAAATTCATATATTGAAATATATTGCGAATTGATAGTGTACGCTGTAGATAATATTGTATATAATGCATTACATGAAAAATAAATGTTTAAAATAAAAAATATCTCTGTGTCTGAAATTAATCGTTCCTTCTTCGCAGCATCGTGTTACGTGCGCGTCATCACGAGCGACATCATTGCGCGCGACCGTATCATCGCGCTCTCTAAAATAATAATAATAGTTATAATTCGGTAGAATAAAAATATTTCTGCATGAATAATCGCATGAAATAAATGCTGAAGAAAAGATTACGTAAGAAAAAGATGGCGACGCATAAAAAACGATAAGTACGAGGTCTGTTCAAAAAGTATCGTGAATTTTGAATTTCCACGGGTTACGAATATTCGATTTTCGATTTTTTTGTGGCGTTATATTGGTACTCATGTCTCTCACTTATGCCGACAAGTTCGGCCATTTTGAATGTTCAGTTAATTTTTGACAGCTGCTTTGCTTGCACGTGTTTTAGCTTGTCTTCGATTTTTGCCTATTCCAAAAAATGGATCAAAGAATCTGTATCAAATTTTGTGTGAAAAACAAAATTAAGTGGACGCATTCCGAATGTTGACTGTGGCATATGGTGAAGCTACCTTGGACCGAAGCAACGTTTATCGGTGGTACAAAATGTTCTCAGAGGGCCGAGAAGATGTGAACGACGAAGAGCGTGCCGGACGCCCGAGCACGTCAACAACAGACGAAAACATTGATGAAGTGAAGAAAATAGTATTGGCCAATCGGAACGGTCAATAAGGAATATTACCTGCAAGTTATGCGCAATTTGCGCGAAGCAATCCGCCAGAAACGCCCGGATTTGTGGAAGAACAAAAATTGGCTTTTGCACCATGATAACGCCCCTGCTCACACATCGTTGCTTGTGCGCGAATTTTTGACCAAAAACAACACAGTAATGATGTCGTAGCCACCGTATTCCCCAGATCTGGCCCTTTGTGACTTTTTCTTGTTCCTGAAACTGAAGAGGCCCATGAAAGGACGACGCTACGCTACGATTGAGGAGATAAAGACGGCATCGAAGGAGGAGCTGAACAAGATCACAAAAAATAATTTTTTGAAGTGCTTCGAGGATTGGAAAAAACGTTGGCACAAGTGTATAATATCTGATGGGGATTACTTTTAAGGGGACAAAATAGATATTCATGAATAAATAAATAATTTTTGAAAAAACACAAAATTTGCGATTCTTGGCGAAGCTCGCCATGGATTCTTCTGGGGTAAAATTTTCCGGAGGTAAACTAGTCCCCCGTTCGGATCTCCGGGTAGGGATCTCGGGAAACTCATGTCGCATAGAGTCAAAAAACGGGAGAGATATTAAAGTGGGAACGTGGAACGTCCGAAGTCTTTACAGACCTGGAGCGTTTCAATCGATGGTCGGGGAGGTCGAAAGGTATGGGGTAGAAGTCCTCGCGTTGCAAGAAACAAGATAGGCCGGGGAAGGGTCGCTTAACGCGGGCTCGTATACGCTCCACTATGGAGGGTCAGAGATCCATAGTTTTGGCGTCGGTTTTGTGATTAATAGGAAAATCTTATCCGCGGTAAAAGACATTAAATTTATAAACGAAAGATTAGGATTGCTCGTTGTGCAGGGCCGATGGTACAAGATCGCGATAATCAATGTACACGCATCGACGGAAGATAAAGATGACGAAATTAAGGACGGG